AGGTGGCGGGGCAGATCGACTGGGCGGCCAGGGTCTATGCGAGGCAGGAGTTGGCAGGCTACATGGAGGCGTTGAAGACGGCCGCCGGATTGCCCGAGGAATGGGTCATCATAGCGCTCGGGGAGCTGTTCTGCATCGTGGGTTTCGCGGTCGCCCGTGGGCAAGCCTGGCGAGAACGGCTGATGATTTACATGGGGGGCAACCAGACGGTCCAGAGGTGGGTGGAGACTCGACGCCCTAAGAATCGGATGGCGAGGCACCTGGTGAGACTGCTCAACTACGTGGAGGCCAAGTACCACTGCCGCGTCCTCGCGGCACCGTACATCAGGACGTACAGCAACGAGATGGCGGACATGATCACCAGGGCCGACGAGAGCGAGGTCAGGCGTCGCATGGACGAGGGGGGCTTCACGTCGATCGACCTGGCAGGCACGTGGGCGGAGGTATTGTCCCAGGGCTACGAGAGGCGCGTCCACGCTGTTGCACTCGTGGACCCCGAGGACTGGCAGGTGGCCATGCAGCTCATGGCCAGCCGGTCGCCGGGAGAGGTCCCGCGCCCGCTGCTGCAGACCGCCTGGCGCGTGGTAGAGGTGAGGAGCACGATGGCCCCGTGCGCCAGGGCCGCTGGCGTGCTGGGAGCGGGCGGCGAGGCGGAGCTGGCGAAGGGATGGCCGGGCCTCCAGGCAGGCGGGGCAGCGAGTGAGAGCGATCTGACCTTGGTGGTGACCTCCCTCGGCCCCTCGCGGGTGGCCCCTCACCTGCAGGACCTCGCCCAGGATCTGCAGCGGCTGGCCGCACAGTGGGCGCTGGTAGACGTGCCGCCCGGCCCCACCGTGGCGGATGTGCTGAAGTTCTTTCGTAACCTCGGGTGGAGCGCTGCCGAAGACGGGCGCGTGTGCAGTGAGTTCGGCGACCCAGTGGCCTAGCGGAAGGTGTGGGTACTGGCGTCGAAGGGCGGAGCACCAGTGCCTGCGGGTTGGTTGGGAAGCCACGATGCTAAGCCCCCACCACCGCTGCCGATGGCAGGAGGGATGCTGAACGCCCGCCGAATTGAGGAGGGTGAGTGGCTGGCGCCCGAGGATGGGCGACTGGTGGTGGTGGACCCGCGGGCGGCGAGGTCACCGCACCACCTCCCCCGGATCATTGGCCACTGGCACCCGCGGGGGCAGGTCGGCAGGCGCCCCGTGCATGGCAGCTCGGGCCCTTCGCCGACCCCTCGGGTGGAAGAGAGTGGGGTGTTGGAACCCGTCTTGGTCTACGACGCGAAGGGCCCCCCGCCGGGGGTGCGGCCACTCCAGGCGCAGGAGGTTTGGGACTTGCGTGGAGGAGCCAGTGCCGACTGGGCCCCCTTGCGCGGGCAGGTGTGCCACGGGGACTTGCTGAGAGAAGTCCTGCGCGCATGCCCCCCGCGCGCGGCCGCGGCGGCGCTAACCGCCGCGCTCAGGCAAGCGGAGGTAGCCGCGGAGTCAGGAGGGAGAACGGCGGGCATCTGCCGCCGGCCAGAGGATGAGGGGAGAAGACAGGAGCTTACGAATTGGCTCCAGGCGGACGAGAGGCGCCGGTAGGAGGCTGCGAGGAAGGGTGAGCGGCACGGCGGCATGCTGCCGGGAGGGCCCACTCCACCCACGGCTCCCCCCAGGGGCCCGCCGCGGCTGGGGGAGCCACCACTGAGGCACCCCCCGCCCAAGGCAGCGCCGGGAGGTCGCCTCCCCCCCATCTGGGAGGAGCAGCAGCCTGCGGTGGTGAAGGCACCACCAAGCGCGGCCCAGGAGGGTCTGCGGCCCGAAGGGGCGCCTGTCGAGGGTGCGTCGGGCGGGCCGGCGGGAGCAGTAGGACACCCAGGTGAGCGGCCAAGCCACTTCGCTGCAGCGGACGAGGTGGTGCTGTGGTCCAAGTCGTCGAAGGCCGACCAGAAGCGAGCGGGGCAGGCGAGGGGCCACTACTGCTCGAACGACCCTTTCGGCATCTGCCCGGTGTGGGCGGCGGAGTGCTACAACCGTTGGTTCCCGAGCCACATCACGGGTAAAGAGGCACACCTGCCTCTTGTGAGGTGGGAAGACGGCAGCCCGATCACGAGGGAGCGTATCCAGGGCTCGCTCCAGAAGGCGGCGGCGCTGGAAGGCTACCCACCCGACAGGCACGTGGGATACAAGGCTTCGGTGGCTGGAGACGGAACGGCTGCTGATGTGAAGGGAAAGTCGGCTTCTTGAGGAGAGGCAGCTGGTGCTCTGAGGCTGAGTCGAGAGGGAGACTGGTCAGGGCGAGGCCCGACGAAGTGCGGCCTGAAGTTTTGCGTCGTGGTACGGCACCGCTGGGAGGCCAGTGCTGGATTGTGCGCAGTCGGGGGGCAGTGGCCGAGGGGCAGTGATGACCGTTGAGTTCGGCGGAGGGAGGAGTTTGAGGGTGGAGGAGGAGAGGTGGAGGAGGGGCGTGGCGGCCCGCCAGTTCGGTCTCCGAGGAGATGGGCAGACTGTCGGGCTGCCCGCCAGTGCGCCCCTTGAGGAGAGTGAAGGAGGCCAGGCTGCGCAGCACGAGGCGCCCAGCTGCGAGCCCTGTTCGGCAACACCCGCAAGTTACGGGCGCCGAGGGGGTGAGGGGCTGGGTTGACTGCAGGGCTGCCGGTCTGGCGGCAGTGGTGGAGGAGCGGCAGGGGTGAGGAGCTTGAGGGCCGGGGCGTCCCGCCAGTGCGGTCCCCGAGGAGAGATGGAGGAAGCGCGTGCTGCGCGGGGTGAGGAGTTTGAGGGCCGGGGCGTCCCGCCAGTGCGGTCCCCGAGGAGAGGAGGAGACGGTCGGGCCGTCCGCCAGCTGCGGCTTCTGAGGAGAGGTGAAGGAGGCCAGGCTGTGCGGCGCGTGGCGCCCAGCTGCGAGCCCCGTTCGGCAACACCCGCAAGTCACGGGCGCCGAGGGGGTGTGAGGAGCTGGGTGGCCGTGGGGCTGCTGGCTTGGTGGCAGTGAAGGAGGAACGGCGGAGTTGAGGAGCTCGAGGGCCGGGGCGTCCCGCCAGTGCGGTCCCCGAGAGGAGGTGGAGGAGGTTTGTGCCGCGCGGAGTAAGGAGTTTGAGGGCCGAGGCGCCCCGCCAGCGCGGTCCCCGAGGAGATGCGGAGGCGTCGGGCCGCGCGGCATGACGCCTCAGTGGGGAGCCCTGCTGGGCAGCGACCAGCGCCGAGGGGATGTGAGGGGTGGCCGGGGGGCCGCCAGCGTGGCGGCACAGGGGCCTCAGCTGGACGTTAGCTGAGGCCGACTGCACGCGCCTGCGATGCCAAAAAGGGTTTCGTCCGCTCCCCGCGCCACCCAAACAGTGTTCCGCCCTCGGTCCTGGTGCGCGAGTGCGTGAAGATGCCGCGCCGCATCGGGCGCGCACTGTTTGGAATATGTGAGTCGGTGGGCGGGTGCATATGCACCGCGCTTGCCGTTTTCTGCCAGGCACTCTCTCACTTAAACGTGAGAGTTCGAGCGTGCGTAGAACGTAAGGTTTCAGGGAGCAAGTGCCTGGTGAGGGGGAAGGGTACCCTCTCTCTGTCCTCTGTCCCTTTCCCCTCTCTGCGGCCCGTTTGGGGCTCAAGCTTTTTTCTCGGGCCCTTCCCTCCCAGGCCCTCCCTGGCCCTTCGTAGGGTTTTTCGTTGTTTCGCTTTGCGGTTCGGGCCGGGGGGCCGCCAGCGTGGCGGCACAGGGGCCTCA